TTCGTCAATATGACCGGTTAGACGAGTTTGCCGATTCTGATTATTTCGAAGAGTTTGACCAGTTTGATATAGTTTAACTAATGTGACCAGTTTGACTAATGTGAATCATGATAATATTGATTCAACTCAATTAAGTCTACAAAATACGATATGCTATTGATATATATGTTCCATTTTACTTATTTATACCATATGGGTCGAATATAAACATGAAAACAACAAAACCCTTTCATAAAAAGAAAAACCCTAAATGCCCAAAGTATATAACGGAATTTAAAGAAGAAAACTTACCTATACACGAGATCAATGCTTATTGGATGAGATTATTGGAGATTTCGCTTGTTTTTCTCAACAAATTTGGTGAGAATTTCACACTGTAGAGGAGGAGCTCGAAGAGAGAGAGAGAGAGAGCGTGATACAGGCGCGAAAAAACGGAAGAAAGGAGAGAGAGAGCGGGAGAGAGAGAGGTGGAGAGAGGAGAGAGAAATATTTTTATTTTATTATATTATATAAATTAATAAAGGGTATTATAGGGAAACTACATTTATAAGGTTATATTTGATGTTATCTCTTTTCTTTTTTTTATGAAGGGTATCCATTGAAGTCCCATGTATCATTTAAGTGTATTTTTGCAATTGCTCCGTTATGTTGTCCGAACAAATATATCGAAAAAATGTCCGTACAAATATATCAAAAAATGTGATAGCTAACCCAATACACGAATCGTTTATTCGATTTTTGAATATTCAGACGTTATTATGAATTCGACAATGAAAATCTAACTTTCAGATTCAGGATTTAAATCGACAAAAAATTTGTTCACATGAATACTCGTCGTTAGATTCGACAGTGAGAAAAAACGAGTTTGGATATGCTCGGACTCAGAAAGATTTATGATTGGGGGCAAAGTTAATTTCATAATAGTAATTTTAATTATTTTATGGGGACATATAATAATTTGTGTAAAATTTTATAAATTTTGTAAAGAAAATATTTTGTTTTTAAAAAAAGGGTGGGGGCCTGTGACCCCACTGCTAAAGAGCTGGATCCGCCCATGCTCTTGCCGATAGATAATCCCGCGGATACCCGAATATTTATAACATTTTGCGGATATCCGAAATTCGAGCATCTGAATGGCACAAAGTTCCGATTCTCAAAACCCGCGAGACGGATTCGGAATCGGATATCCCGAGATTTTGGTAGCCGATGACACGTGTCAGTCCCAAGAGTGTTGTCTTGTGCATGCTTTCTCAACCATTTCGAAGGTACCAATACAAACACAAAATTGTAGATATTTCGGACAATATGGTTTCCTACTACTTGCAGAGTTGGTCGGAAACTGAAGACTTTAAGGTAGGAGAAACAGGAACATCCCCGAAGAACACGTCGAACAGAGCGGATGCAACATTTCCCGACTCGATCTCGGCATCCACATGTGATGGCAACCCATTTGCCGAGACTGAAACCTGGTCGAAACCAGACATGTAAGCTTCGATTAGACGAAAGAAGGACCGATCGGTATGCGCCAAAAATCAATGCAAAAAGAGAGGTCTTTACGAGCATTTTAGACGGTTGGGTCCAAGTCAAGAATATCAGCGTTCCTTTCTTGAGAGGTCTTCCTTGGAAGACGCTACTGAATGCGGAAAGAGCGGATTTATCATCGGGCGTGGGAGATTTAATCCTCGGTGTTATGGCTTCATCCAGAGCGTCCCAGAAAGTTTTACCATCGACGTCTCTCACAAGAACGATCTGCAACGATTTCTCTCCTGCAGCTGCATAAACCGAGCCAAGAAAAAGACATTTATATGAGCCCCAGAAGGAGAATAGATATCGAAAAGGAGGAAATACCCGCCATGGGAAGAGTTCGGTTCGTTACCCTGAAAAATGGAATTAAACACGGATGAATCTTTTTGGATTTCAGAAGCGGAACGCCCTTTCCAAGCACTTAACCCGCTTAGGACAGACTCGTTCACGTAAAATCCTGCGGCATAGACTTTGACACCGATGATGGCAAAGGTTTTCTCCCTGTACCCTGAAAGTTATCGCATTCTTTCTGTTAGTATATACTCTAAAATCATCTGATGTGAAATTGGGCGAATTTTATAATCGTTGGTTCTATACAAAACCCCTCCAAAGATACAGATAAGACCCTCCCCCTCTTTTAGTGATTGCATACAGAATCAACACTATGTAAGAAGCTCCATACTCACCAGTGCCAAGCAATGCCAATGGAGATGAACAGCCCGGTAATGTCACCGATCTCTGAAACCTCACGCTGGTCGCCGGTTCCTCCATGTAATCAACATTCCCTATCGCAAACGGGCAGAAAACTAAGTCGAATCCGTTTCCATGAGATTCATACGTTTCATTCCTACCTAAAAAATGTTTTCTTGATAATGTCTGTGTCTATATTCTCAAAGGCATGAACTTGACATGAACCCGGAAGGCCGAAGTCCAAGAACCTAGTCTCAGTTGTGTGATAATGCCCATCAAAACTTCTCTCTGAGTTATTTTTCACTAAGAACCCCATGGAAGTGTTGCGATGTGTAATTTGCTATCAATGTTCCAATGAAAGCCATTTTCTTGGTCTTTCCAATTTCAGAAGCAACTGATCGATCAAAGACACGAACAGCAAAACAGGACGATGTTTTATGAAAGGATTTGCCCTAACCGTTCTCTTACAAACCCTAAAATCAAAATTTTCATTGCTAAGTTCCTTGCCCTGCAGCTATCAAGAACATGTACCTAGTTCAGCTCGGATTCAAGAGATTTCAGCCATGGAGACAACTCTCATGCAACTGTGAATCAGAAAGCACATTGGTCGCTCCTAGAGTAGTGAAGTTTTACCTGAAGAAGCAGAGCATCTTACGGACAAACTCGAAATTCGGCTACAATGTCGCTGTCTGAATAACTGATTACTACACTCCAAAGAAGAAATCGACGCCTGAAGCGAGAAAACCGGAGATTTTCCCGGAAAATGGTATCTGGGCTCCGCACAAAACCGAAACCCCCGACGACAAATGGGCGGAGAGACGCACATCGCGGTCGGAACTGTCGCGAAAATCACGTCCATGCCGAGAACTCCGGCCAAAGTTTCCGGCGAGAACACAAAGAAAAAGTTGCAGACTTTAGATTTGTGTTGCGTAGAGATGGGAGCGTTGTTTCCTAAGAAGAAGAATCAAGATGACGCCGGGGATCTGTGAAATCAGCCACGTCACTACAAATCAGATGATTAGACAGAAATTTATATATTATTGCACATATATATATAATATACGTATGCCCGAAAATAATAACACAATATCAAATCTATTATATAATACACATTACCCACATATTCTTGAAAAACCTTTTGATTCCTAAAAATATTTATGATGTACTACTGTAAAAAAAACACTGTATCTTAGAAATCTACACACCAATTCACATCGTTGGTAAAAAAAAAAAAACAAAATAAACAAAATGATTTTAAGGAAAGAGCATTAACTAATCAATAACATGCATTATTTTCACTACCCGCAAAAAAAAAAAAACGTATAGATTCACCATTAATGAGCATAGAATGAATTCAGGAACTGCGAATGTAGTCACTTTCCTCAAAATCCCTTTCTCAAAAAAGGAACTTTTTTACCCGTTCTTGTTCATTTTCATCGTTTTCCCTAAAAGAAGCCATTTTTAACGACCAGACAGAGAATCTCAGGTCTGGTCCCTCAGTCAAAGGTCGGCTCAAAATCTGTTTCCGAATACCGTTTTTGCAATTCATTTTCCTTTTCGGTTCGTATTTTTCTTTTCTCTTCGGTTTTGCCAAGTTTTATAATATTCCACTACTCGATTAAAACCCTTTTGTCTCTTCTGCTGATTTCAAATGGCATTATTGTTCTTCTACCTCCTCCTCCTCCGTTTCCTCTCTTCTTGAGCGAGAACAAAGGGGATTTCTCAAATGGGTTTCCGATTTATCTGATCCTCCATTCGTCTCCTTGGTGGGTTTTCGCTGGCATCCCCAAAACATGACGTCGTTGACTTGCCACAACCTCGATTTCGTCGGAAGTTCGAAGGCGTTTTCGTATCTCAGTGGTGGAAGTAGAAGAAGCTCGGGTGGTCTGAACCTGATTTGCTTTAGAAAAGATGGTCGTAGTAGCTACTGTTCGTTCTCCCCAGAGAGGGTCACCGCCGGTAGAGTTCCTAGTTTCTATTTCGGATTATACAAACCTTTTTTATTATATGTTCTCGTTTGAAGTTCCAATGGCATGTTCTGGTGTTGTTCTTGGTTGAAGTAAATCCATTTCCACACATATGTGAGTGCTAAATCGTGGGATTTTGTAGGATTTGATCAAAGTGGTGTACTGAATATGAAGAAAGAAGGAAAGAAGCCGATTTCTTTGTCGAATTCGTTTGAGGTTGTGGCCAATGACTTGAGGAATCTGAACCAGAATCTTCTTGATGTGAGTGTATATATTGTGAATGCTTTTGCTCTTGGTTCGGTTCAAAGTGTTCTTGCATTTATGTAGTTGCCTTCTTATGTAGATGTAAGGGCTATCTAGAGAATGCCTTTGTGGGTTTATGTCTGAATCTGACAAGGATTGCAAACAGATTGTCAGTGCAGAAAACCCGGTTTTGATGTCAGCGGCCGAGCAGATTTTCGGGGCAGGTGGCAAGAGAATAAGACCGGCTCTTGTTTTCATGGTTGCCCGAGCCACCGCAGAATTATCCGGGCTGGAGTAAATATATTACGTCTGTTTGGTTCGATTTTTTCAAGTTCAGAAGCTATGAATGCGAGAACTGATCTCGTCCTTTGTTTTCAGGGAACTCACCCAGAAACACCAGCGTTTGGCTGAGATCATAGAAATGATCCATACTGCTAGTTTGATTCATGACGATGTTTTGGACGAAAGTGATATGAGACGAGGTCGGTTTCCATTCCATGCCCTTGTTGAATTTGTTTTCTTCATGATTTCCCGTCTTATCGTGTCGTATTCAGGCAAGGAAACTGTGCACCAACTCTATGGTACACGGGTGGCTGTCCTGGCAGGCGATTTCCTGTTTGCTCACTCTTGCTGGCACCTTGCAAATCTCGAGAATTTCGAAGTCATTAAACTCATTAGCCAGGTAAAATCCCTTGCCCTCTTCGATCTGTTCTTCCTTCGTTGAAAACCGATAGAAACCTTTTTCTTCGATGTGACTGCAACATTGTTGAAAGATTCTGTCTCCTAAATGTCGGCAGGTTATCAAGGATTTCGCTAGCGGGGAGATAAAGCAAGCGACTAGATCTTTCGACTGTGACCTCGAGCTTGAAGAGTACTTACTCAAGAGCTACTACAAGACGGCCTCCTTAGTCGCTGCCAGCACAAAAGGAGCCTCAATCTTCAGCTGGGCTGATCAGAATATCGTAGAACAGATGTTCCAGTTCGGTAAAAACCTCGGTCTTTCCTTCCAGATCGTCGATGACATACTGGATTTCACTCAATCCTCCAAACAGCTGGGAAAACCGGCCGGTAGCGATCTTGCGAAAGGCAACATAACCGCACCCGTGATTTTTGCTCTCGAGGAAGAGCCGAAGCTAAGGCAAATGATTGAATCAGAGTTCTGTGAAGAAGGTTCACTGGACAACGCCATTGAAATGGTCAGGAAATCTGGTGGAATCGAGAAAGCTCACGACTTGGCTGCAGAGAAAGCTGTTCTTGCCATCCAAAACCTTCATTCTCTTCCTCAGACTGCATACAGGTTGGCCCTTGAGGAGATTGTGATGTTTAATCTCGAAAGAATTGATTAGTTTCCGATTTTTTGGTTTCGGTTTTCATCTCTGAGTAAAATTCAAAGGTTGGATCTTTTCCCCAAAAGGGTCTCAGTGAAAAGCTTTAAAGTTCAAACTTTTGCTTCAGAACAATGGATGGTTTCTGCTCTGTATTTATAGGTGTATTTATGTGTATTGATATTTTCAAATACAGATTGTTTCATCTGTAAACAAGAAAAACCCAGTTTTTATATTGATTTTGTTTTTCTATATGCTTCGATCCCATTTGATTTGAACCTGAAAAGATACATCTTTTATCACCTTATAACACTGTAACTTGTTACTTGCACCGCAAGAAACCACGCCTTTTTTTTTACTCGAATTCTACTTCGTGTACGGATCATAAAACCGTACAGTTCCTATAGCCTCAGATCTTACGGAAGATCAACCGGGCACCTAACTGAGGTTGAACCGTGAAAACCCTACAAGGCGAGTGAGTGTACGAAGGCGACAGCTCGAAAGAGAACTTCTGCAGAATCAATGTCAGAGCCATCTTGGCTTCAGTCAGAGTAATGTTCTGTCCTGGACAGAATCTTGGTCCCCATCTGAACGGTATGAACGATGCTTGGTTCTTCTTCGTCGCGTTCGAAATCCCGTCTTTGAATCTCTCGGGTCTGAATTCGAGAACGTCATCGCCCCAAATGTCGGGATCGTGATGGACCAAGAGCATAGGAATGGATATTCGGACACCGGCCGGGAGAGTTATGTCTCCAAGTCTTGTCTCTTTGTCCACGGCTCTGTCTAGATGAACCCCTGGTGGGTATAGCCTCAAAACCTCGTTCAAGGTCATGCTTGCCTGAAAAAAAGTTTCAAGTTCAAGATCATATGCTTTTCTTGTAAATCCAAGGGGACAAAACCGAGTTCGGGTAGGCTAAAAACATTGGGTATCCAACTGAGTCCGCCCCTAGTGTTTGTTTAGGTACAAAACCATGTTCACACGAAAGCAGAATACGAGATTTCGCTTACTATTTTAAGGCGGGAGAGGCCGTCGAAATCTGGCTTGTCCTGTCCGAAGACTTGCAGGACTTCTTCTCTGGCTCGAGCCTGCCATTCTTGGTGCTGACTTAACAGAACCATTGTCCAAACGAGCAAGACAGAAGTGCTTTCTTGCCCGCCTAAGTAAATCATCCGGCATTCTTCGATAACATCTTCAATACTCATCCCGTCTTTCGTTGAATTCGATTCCAACAGTATTCCCAATGCGCCGTTCTTCGTAACCTCTCCATCTTCCATCATCGCCCTCTTTCTTTTCTCGACGATATCTCTGATTCTACTCTTCACTTCTCGGTCTATCTCTTTCCTTCTCCTGTTGTTCTTCGTCGGCACAAACCTTTCACCAAAAGGGGAAACATCGATGAAGTCTGGGATGATTGTATGATGATTCGCTAAGAGTATGAACCGTTACACTACTTACCTCCATCCCGGGATGAAACCCATCCGAAGGCCTTGAAGTACTCGCTAGCCTTGCTCTTCTTGGAGCTCGAAGATCCTTTTACCTTCCTCGTAGTTACTACTGAACTCGGTACGGGAAATAGCGTCAGCTGCCATACTCGAGAGAAACGGCCACACATCCACCTCGCCCGATGATCTCTTCTCGGAAACCAGCCTCTCCCATGTGCTTATACATCTCGTTGCAGCTCTCATAGAACGCAGGAACTTTGTTCTGAAAACAAAGAACATTAAAGTTTAGGTTTTAGTATTTAGTGTTTGGTTTCGTGATTAGATTCTGTAACCGACCTTGAGCTTTTCGACGTGAAAAACAGGGTTAAGGATCTTTCTGTGCTTAAACCATTTCTCTCCTTCGTAATTTGCGACTCCTTCCACCAACAGCTTGAAGAAAGGGTTCGAGGGCGGCTTCGGGAAATCACGAGCTCTGGTTAACACTTCTTTGATCTGCTCTGGTTTCGTTACGATCACTGTCGGCGTCGGTCCAACCCGCATGAACGATATCTTCCCTGCACCAACCGCAGTAACAGAGTTGCACGAGGTGTTCCAATCTTGATGAAATTCACAAGTGGTAGATTCTGATTCTTGAAACCAGATTTTTTGTCACGTGTCAAGATGGAAATGTACCGTGATTCTTCACGGTCTCGACGAGCAAAGGAGCGACACGTGGCGTGAAATCGTCGGTTAGATTGACGGGTTTCGAAGAAGCTTTTTTCGCCATACAGAATTCCCTTACGAGATCCCCGACAAGGATCGTGTAAGGAGTTCCAGAGATACCTTGTCTTTTCAGATAAGCTTCAAGCCTCTTAGGTATAAACCAGACCCAGTTCAGAACTCTCCACATCCAAATCGCTATTGCCGCGATCGCAACCGCAGTCGCAATCGAAATCGCAGCCGCTGATATCTCCATTTATTGCAAGAAGGGAAGAAACGTAACAGAGTGTTTTGAGATGGAAGAGGGTGATATATGGTCTTGTGTGTATGTATGTCTGTGACTATTTGTTGGTCCAAAATTTATTGCAATTACCAGTACCAACCATTAATTAGCACGATTAGAAAAGTATGATCTTATAACGGAAGTCCAATATCTAATTATATATATATATATATATATATATATCCAAATGCAGATATTATTTTGTAAAAAAATGCAAATTTCTCAAGAAGAACGATTACATACAAAAGTAGTAAACTTTCCATTTCTTTTTAATTAAGACAATGAATGTTGGTGGTTAGCTTTCCAAAAATACTCGTAACTTTGTCCTAAAAAAACAATCAACTAAAGCGTCAAAGACCAATGTGATATAAAATTGTCAAAGACCAATGTGATATAAAATTATTGGTATAGTTATTTTTATTTGATTCTGTCCGATTTGGTTATATAAAATTAAATATATCTGAATTAAATATACAATTATATCCAAACTTACAAAAAACCCAAAGAGAATTTTCCATAAGAATACCAAAATATTTTTAAATATACTATATAAATACCTCAATTTCCAAATTGCCAAACAAATATTTAATTTGGTCCGTTTGTACCAAATCGATATCAATGCCGTCATCGATTTGATATTTATTTGACAATCGATCGAATTGAGCTATTTATTTAACAAAATTAAAATATTTATTTGGCATTTAGATAAATTTGGATATTTTATAGAATTTTCTTAAATCCTAAATACCCACCTCAAACCCTAAATACACTTTAGACTAAACCAATGAAAAAAAATGTCCATTCTTATTATAATTATTATAAAATATTTATTATACATTCCCTCACTAAAGCTATAGTTTCCACACTTACGAAGCGAAACCAATCTCATAACTTACGAAGAACGAGATTCGCTCCAAACTGAGGATGAATGGAAAAGACGTTGTACGGAGCGTGAACATACGAAGGGGAGAGCTCGAAAGAGAATCTGCGCAGAATCATAGCCATGGCCATCTTGGCTTCAAGCATGGAGAAGTTCTGGCCGATGCAAATCCTCGGTCCCCACCCGAAGGGGAAGAACAAAAGCCGGTTCTTCGTCGCCTTTGAGATGCCGTCTTTGAACCTCTCGGGTTTGAACTCTCCCGCGTCTCTTCCCCACAGCTCGGCGTCACGCTGGACGAGCAGAATGGATAGAGCAACGTGAACGCCTCCCGGAAGGGTCAGGTCTCCGAATTTCGTCTCCTTATTGACCGCTCGGCTCAGCTCAGGCACCGGAGGGTACAGCCTTAGAACCTCGTACAATATCATCGTTACCTGTAGTATCGTTTAGCAACAATGTTATCTTCCGACATAGTCAAAGGTGAACGTGACCAAATATGGGATTGATTAGAGTTTGATCGGTTTGGTTAATTACTGAATATCCGAATATCCGAACAGAGAGTAATATATAACCATAACCACACCGAATTCGATATAAAAACTCAATGACTGTTTTTTAGACCGAAAAACTTGGAAGTTTGATCGGTTTGGTTAATTACTGAATATCCGAACATAGAATAATATATAAGCATAACCGAACCGAATTCGATATAAAAACTCAGTTTGTTTGAAAAATGCATGTTTTTATCGATAAAAATCGAAAGTAAACCAAACCGAATCTGATGTAAAAAATCAATGGTTGTGCTTTTTTAGACTGAAAAACCGAAACCAACTGAAATAACCGAAAATTCGATTGAAAAATGAATGTTTATATCAATAAAAACCGAAACCGAACTGAATTCGATATAAAAACAAAATGGTTATAATTTTTTAAAACCGAAATAATTAAATCGAACCCAAACCGAAACCCGAAATAGTCATTCTAATATTGGTGGATGCATTCAACAAGTTAGCTTTTGAGACGTGTTCGGCGCATAAAACCTTAGACGGATTAAATCGGGGCCATTATTTAAATGGGGAACGTAAAATTTTGATATGACTTACAACTTTGAGTTGGTTGAGGCTGTCGGCATCGGGTTTCCGGTCACCGAGAACGCGCATCACTTCCTCTCTGGCCCGAGCCTGCCAGTCTTGATGCTGGCTTAACAGTATCATTGTCCAGACTAACAGCACCGCCGTGGTTTCTTGCCCGGCGAAATAGAACAGCTTGCACTCGCGCATCACTTCTTCGATGCTCATTCCGTTCCCCTTGGATTGCTCGTAATTCGATTCGAGAAGTACTCCCAACAAGTCATCGCTCGGTGCTTCCACGCCTTCTTCCCTCGCCTTCCCTCGTTTGTCGATGATCCCGCCTAGTAAAACTCGTACTTCTCTGTCTATCTCTTTCATTCTTCTATTACTCTTGGTCGGAAAATAACTACGCCAAAGAGAGGAGGAGGTTAAGGCATTGCACTGCAGTTCGGTTTTTCTCCGTTGGAATGGAAAATACTACGGGTTTTACTGGATCGCTGATTAAGATCGAATGTACCGATCGATACATTCTCTAACTCTGTTTCTAACCTTAACACCATGATGATCGATATAGCCAAAGGATTCGGTGAAAAGGGTTCTTTTTCTTCTTCTTTTTTTCAGACAAAACAGTGTTTATTACCTGTATCCAGGGAAGTAAGCTTTCTGAAAGGTTTGCGCAATGAGCTGAGCTAGTTCGGCTTGGAGTTTGAAAATCATCTGTCCTTCTCGATAGCTGCTTCCAAAGGCGGTCCGTGAGATCGCGTCCGCTGTCATATTCACGAGCCACGGCCAAACGTCCACCTCGCATGATGACCCTTTATCGGCAACTAGTCTCTCCCATTCTTGAACTACCTCACTGCAACAGTGGTAGAATGCAGGGACCATGTTCTGCAGCATATTCAAACACGAACTGGGTTTTATCAAGAGATCGAAAACACGAACTCTGTCTCGATTCAGACAAACAAACTGATAGGAAACCTTGATCTTCTCGAGGCGGAAAGCGGGATTGATGATCCTGCGGTGTTTCGCCCATTTGTCTCCATCGTAATACACGAGTCCGTTTGTCAGCAATTTGAGCAAAGGGAATGCATGCGGCTTCTCGTAATCGTAAACTTTGTCAAACACTTCTTTGATCTGTTCAGGATTTGCCAGTGTAATCACTGGTACAGGTCCCAGCCACGTGAAGAATATCCTCCCTATGTTCATCAATACACGTAAAGTTAAGTTCTCAACTCCAAAAACAATACACATCAGATCGCTTTTTTCTGTCAGATTACGCAATTCAACCTGGAAAGTGGAATCTAAAAGAGACCCACGAAAGATGACCATGCCTAATTCACAAAGATTCAAACTTTCGATCTCTGAAACTCGCCGAGTTCTTTTCAAAGGAATCGACATTTTAAGGATTCAGCCCAATGGGCACGAACGAACGAACGTACCGTGAGTCCTAAGCATATTTTTGGCGAGAGGGAGGACACGTGGAGAGATGTCGTCCGTCAGATTCATGGGTTTGGATATTGTTTCCGACAGCATGCTGTAGTTCCTTATCACATCGCCGACAAGAGGAGTGTAGTGAGTTCCGACAAGGCCTTGTCTTCTGAGGTAGCTCTCCAGAATCTTAGGTTTAAGCCAAACCCACTTCACAAATCTCCATAACCACAGTAACGCAACGGCTGAAGCCGCCAAAGCCGCCATTGATGAGAAGGAAATCTCCATTTTCTTCTATCTCAGAGAGAGAATAAGGCAGAGTTCTTGTGATGATGGAGATGTGGAAAACTATATTACCTTTCCTGCATGTATTTAAACAGACGAACAAGGAAAGAAACCAGAAACATAGAGAATCAAGAGATTGATATGGTTATCAATCTTACAACAAAAGATCCTTTGACTTTTCAAAAAAACATTTAAAACAATCCATACAAACTTTCACTTTTCCAAAAAAGAAATAAAATCCCACTATCCACACTTCTAAATAATTAATAGTTATTAATTTCTATATTTATGACTCAATTTAATATATATTGATAATGATGATAATAATAATAATTAAAGTTATAAATATAAATATTTTTAAATTAGGTTTGAAATTGTTAAATAATAAATATAACAGTTTCTACATTTGTATAGATTTATTAGGATGGGTCGAGAGTTGTATATTATAAATATGTTTTAAATTTTAGATATATTTTATTAATTTATCATTCAAAATTCGAAACATACGTGTAAATATACAATTATACATTTAGGATAATTATACGTGTATAATTATACAATTATACGTGTAAATATATAATTTTATTTTTTTTAATGTGATATATTTATGATAAGATAGTTTAATAAAATAAATTGAAACAAATAGCTTCAACGTTTTCATGGTCCATAAAATGTCGGAGGAGAAATCCACGTGGCATTCTTTCCCTTTATACTACACTAATGAGAATGAGAACATGTCCAAAATCCTTTTTGACTACAATGCCACTGTTGTTTCTGTCCCTAATGACATCGTCGTGTTGTCTCTTACTATCTCATTAGGTAATCATTAGGTTTAATTATATTAATGGTGGATGAATCAAATCATATACTCAATATAGATTAGTTAATATACTAATGATTTTTATTTAATTCACTATGATTAATCATTAAGTGCACATATATTAATGGTGTATGAATCAGATACTATAATATAGATTAGTTAATATACTAATGATTTGTTGAATTAATTCTTTTAATTGAATGAAAATTTATGTAACAAATCGAAAATTGAATAAGTTTAATAGTTGTATTATTTACATTTAAATAAAAAAAGATATATTTTTACTTAATATCTAACTCAAAAGAGATGTATGTGTATAATGAAAATATAGATTAAATTAAAATAAAAGTTTATATTAACTTTAAACAAAAAGACATATACAAACATGTGAGAATTGGTTTCTTTTCATTGATTAATTAAAAAGTGATATTTGTTTTTGCAAAAAGTTATAGTAAGATAAGCATTTTTTTATTGGCAAATTTTAAGTGTAAATATCATGTCTACAAACAGAATGTATTGTAGTCACGAAAAATTGATAGAATAATCAAATCTTGAAAGATATTGTTACTGTTTTTATAAACATAGTTTAACATTTAATGGTAAGGATGTCAACAGAACCAATTCGCCTCGCTGTTCGATTCTTGACAAGTCATCTCATCTTGAGCTCAGTTCATCAAATTCGTTTTCAAACGAATTAATTAAAAAAAAAAAATTTGACTCAATTCGTCTCGTAATTTTCCAAAACTAGTTGAACCGACTCGCGAGTAAAAAACAAATATAATAATTTTTTTATTTGTACTATAAAAATATAAAATAAAATGATATTTTAATATAAAATTTAAATATTAGAATATCACAACTAAGTATATAAAATAAATTATATATAAACAATAAAAAATTAAATTAAATATTATTTTCTATAAAATATAAAATATATATAACATTTTTCAAAAAAATATCTTAGTTCACGAACGAGTTCGCAAACCTGACTAACTACTTCGACGAACCACAACTTGTGGCAAGTTGATTCTTTATTTCTTTTGCAAATGAGTCTTAAAAATGCTAGTTCAGCTCGATTTCGTGACAAATCAATCGCGAGTCAACTCCTAAGTTAAACTCTTTTTGACACTCCTAATTATTGGTAAGTTTTTTCTATTTTTATCCATTTATCTATCTATTTAGTAATCCGTTATAACAGAATCGTCGTAAAAACTCTGTATTTTTTCAAATTAACGATTAAATCTTATATGTTTTTTTAATCGAATAAACACAATAATTATAGTTAATCTATATATTACCGTACTATCAAATTATTAGTCAATATGTCATGGTTTCGTAACAATGGTGACAATGTTTATAACAAATGACGGTAAAACTGATGTGACGGAACTTAAGTCATGCACATATATGATTATGATGCTATGTCATTACAAATAAAAATTTTAAAATTCATAAAATAATAAAACTAATTAAAATAATAATAATAATAATAATAAAATTTACAATACAATATATACATATACGTATGTATACATGTATACATATATATACATATATATTTCGGGTTAATCTATTACATTTAATTCGTATTCGGTTATTTCTAATTATGAAAATTTATAACCAAACTGTTAATTAATTTTATTCGGTTCAGTTCAGTTTGGTTTTGTCTACTTAAAACTGAATTATAATCAAACAAATATTCAGTTTGATTCAAGTTCGGTTATTTCGGATTTTGAGAATTTATAACCAAACGGTTATTAAATTTTAATCGATTCGTTTTGATTATTTCAACCGGTCACGTATCTTTTTTTTTTTTTTTTGTGGTTAAAGGGGTCACGTCTCTTCTTCTCATTCGTTGCTTCTTTGTTTAAAATGTTCAGCATGTAATTATTATCTTTTTTTACAATGTTTGGGGAGATTATTTTTTCTCTTTATTAATAATAGAAAAATCAGTCTAAAAAACCTAACTCTTCAAGCTTAGTCGCAGCAAAATCTTGACCAAATCAGTGAGTTCTCTATATCCTTATCGCTACGGTCCCTACAGCAATCGCAAACGCAGTCGCCAACGCAATCGCTGATGCCTCCAATTTGTATACGTGGCTACGTGCGTGTGTTAAATGAAGAGAGGAAACAGGTGAAAATTGAAAATTTTATTTATAATTTTCATTTTCGATGAGATTATATCAGCATTGCATAAAAAGGGGAACCATTCCATTATATATTCCCTTACCAAAGCTATGTTTCTGCATTCTATACTTAGAAAAAAAACCCATTCTCTCATAGCTTGCGAAGAACGAGATGAGCTCCAAACTGAGGATGAAGCGTAAAGACTGTGTACGGAGCGTGGACGTATGAAGGGGAGAGCTCGAGAGAGAATCTCTGTAGAATCAAAGCCAAAGCCATCTTGGACTCAAGCATGGCGAAGTTCTGGCCGATGCAAATCCTCGGTCCCCACCCGAACGGGAAGAACGAAACCTGGTTCTTCGTCGCCTTTGAGATCCCGTCTTTGAACCTCTCGGGTTTGAACTCTCCCGCATCGCTTCCCCATAGCTCGACATCACGCTGGACAAGCATAATCGGTAGATCGACGTGAACGCCTCCTGGAAGAGTCAGGTCTCCAAGTTTCATCTCCTTGTGGACCGCTCGGCTCACTTGCGTCACCGGAGGGTATAGCCTTAGAACCTCGTATAATATCATCGTTACCTGTAGAAACATTTAGCAACACAACGTAAACACGGTTTTCTAAACGGAAAAGAAGGAAGAAAGTTCCGACATTACTTACAACTTTGAGCTGGTTGAGGCTATCGATATCGGGTTTCCGGTCACCGAGAACTTGGATCACTTCCTCTCTCGCCCGAGCCTGCCAGTCTTGGTGTTGGCTTAGCAAAATCATCGTCCAGACTAATAGTACTGAAGTGGTTTCTTGTCCGGCGAAATAGAACAGTTTGCACTCCTGCATCACTTCTTCAATGCTCATTCCCTTCCCTTTAGATTGCACGGAATTTGATTCGAGAAGTATACCCAGCAAATCATCGTTCGGTGCTTCCCCCGCTCCCACTCGTTTGCCGATGATCCCGCTTAGTATAGCTCGTATTTCTCTGTCAATTTCTTTCATCCTTCTATTGCTCTTTGTCGGGAAATACCTACGCCCAAGAGAGGAGATCATTAAGATTGTCTACTTCCGATCAATATATTCTCTAACCCTGCTTTTAAAACTTACACCAAGATGATCAATACCGCTAAAGGACTCGGTGAACAGGTTTCTCTTTTCTTTCAGCAGACAAGACAGGTGTTTACCTATGTCCGGGGATATAAGCTTTCTGAAAGGCTTGTGACAGGAGCTGAGCTATTTCCCCTTGGAGTTTGAAAATCATCTGCCCTTCTCTATAGCTGCTTCCAAAGGCGGTCCGAGAGATCACGTCTGCAGTCAGATTCACGAGCCACGGCCAAACATCCACCCCACGCGATGACCCTTTTTCTGCGACTAGTCTCTCCCATTCGTCGATTATCTCACTGCAACTCTGGTAGAATGCAGGGATCATGTTCTGCAACATATTCAGACACGAACTGGGTTTATCAAGAGACCGAAAACACGAAGAATGTCTCAAATCAGACAAACAACCGATAGGAACCTTGATCTTCTCGAGGTGGAAAGCGGGATTGATGATCCTGCGGTGTTTCGCCCATTTGTCTCCATCGTAATTCACGAGTCCAGTTGCTATCAATCTGACCAAAGGGAATATATGCGGCTTCTCGTAATCGTAAACTTTGTTAAACACTTCTTTGATCTGTTCAGGATTTGTCAGTGTAATCACCGGTATAGGCCCCAGCCACGTGAAGAAACTCTTCCCTGTTTCACGCAATACACATACATCCAAGTTCTCAACACCGAAAACAAACACTGAAACTGACGAAACCGATGCAGATTAAACCCGAAAACACATCAGATCGCTTTGTTCTGTCAGGTTATGCGATTCAGCTCGAAACTAAAAGAGACCCACGAAAGATGGCCCTTTCTAGATCACAAAGATTCAAACTTTTGTTCTCTGAATCTAGCCGAGCTCGTCAAAGGAACCAACTTTATAGGATTCAGCCCAATGGGCACGAATGAACGAACATACCGTGGGTCTTAAGCATAGTGAGGGGGAGTGGGAGGACGCGTGGAGTGATGTCGTCCGTCAGATTGATGGGTTTGGACCTTGCCTCCGTCAACATACTGGAGTTCCTTCTCACGTCGCCGACAAGAGGAGTGTAGGTGGTTCCGGACAGGCCTTGTCTTTTCAGGCAATTCTCCAGAAACTTAGGTTTAAGCCAAACCCACTTCACAAATCGCCATATCCACGTCATCGACACCACGGCTAAAGCCACCAAAGCTGCCATTGATGAGAAAGAAATCTCCATTTTCTTCTCTCACAGAGAGAGATAGGGAGAGAGAGAGAGGATAAGCGAGTGTTTCTTGTAATGGAGGTCTGGAAAATTACACTACTTTCCAACATTTATCTGAAATGTAGAGGAATCGAGAGATTTATATGGATATCAATCTTAATTTTAAAATAATAAATTTATTTGCTTTCTGCATTTTTTTTTCATTTTTCTTATATCTTTGGAAAAAAATGGTACGAAAATGCAAAAGAGTAGTCAAAATAGAATTCTCTTAGTTTCAGAATTGTGGTTGAGGCAAAGTCTTGGGTACATGCCATTTCTCGACATCACGTAGACTTTCAAGAAAAATCCCAAAAAAAAAAACGACTGAACTTTACAATTTTGACAAAAAATGATATTATTTGATTTATATTTCTAATTGATATCAATCATATCTAACATTTAAAATATTTTCAAATCAATTATAATATTTCCAAATCCATATTTATTTCTTCATTTCAACAATAATGTGTTTTATATATTTTCATAAAAAATATTGTCAACGTTCTTTCTATGTTATGTTAAAATAAATTTTTTTACGTGAAGATTATGTTAAAGGTAAAGCCAAAATGTTGTTGTCTATTTATCCGGTAAAAAAACTGAAATAACCTTTTTCTGAAAAGTGATTAAAAGGCTTGAAATTATATCCGGTTCCTTTGTAAAATCATACATGTTTAAGTTTATTTCTTATTTATTTTTCAAAGATCTTGCACTTGTTATGTGGGCAATACCATCTTTATTTTTTTTTGGGGAAATCCACCAAAAATTCTTACTTTACATTTAATACCTATATTTTTTAATTACAAAATAAACTATATACTTATATTGATTGATATATAAATACACGTACTTTAAAAAATTAGCAAATTTGGCCTTACGATGAAACGCCATTAAAATTGTAAATGGAAAAATCTAACTTAACAAAAACGATTACCTAATCACGCGTCATATTAGCATTCACATCAGATTACTAAAATAAATAGAAATAAAAATAATATATATACATATACATATATATATATATATATATATATATATATATATTTATCCAAACATATATATATTCATGTATATATATACATATTAAATTTTGAAGACTAGTTGGGTGGACACAGGTCGGAAAAATCAGAGTATTTGGATTTGAATCCGAAAGTCTTAGATATTTAATTATAAAATTTGTATGCGGCATTTGGGATTACAAGTATCCACAGTAATGTTCGGATATTCGCCGGTATCCGGATCCACATTTATTTAAGAAAAAAACAATAATATTTATATATAAAATTTTCAAAAATGAAGATATATTTATGAAAGTATATGAATTATGATAAAAATACGAGATTAAGAGAGATAATAAGAGATAAATAATAATAAATTTAGTTTTTTTAGATAATATTAAAAAATATAAAATTATTTAACCTAAAATAATTATATTTTATAAAAATATTATATAAATATAATATATAATTATTTATAACCAAACTAGTCGGTTATCTGCGGATATTCGATTTTAAAAATTCTATTATCCATATTTGGATTCACATTCGCGAATATTGATAAATTCGGATTTGGATTTGGATTTGGATTTGGATTTCAATAAGTACGAGTATCCTAAAATCGGCTTTCTGCGAAATGAGTATCACCAGATTTTCGGATATTTGTGTCCTACCCTTACTAGTTCTCAGTTAAAATAATTATTTGAAACTAAAATGTTATAATTTTAAATATATTATCCATTAAAATATTACATCTTAAAATAATTTTTATTCAGATTTTTTATAATTCTCCATGTTATATAAATATTTGTATTTTTTTATTAAGATTTTAAATAAATAAATATGGAAACACGTAACCTATACCGGAATGTGTCAAGGCATCTTATCTTAGTAGTAATGGCAAAGAGACTCCAAGTCATACCTTTGATAGCGAAAGGAGCGGATTTTAGACGGTGGAAACCGATATCGGCCTTAAAAGGGCCAAAGCCTCAGATCGGATTTCGGGTCATATATCCCTTGCGCCGGCCCGTGAATGAGCTGCCGTGATCTGTACTGTTGTATCGGGTCCGGGTCTTGGGAAGGAAACACTGGACATTGTCTTTGACCCAAGAAAACGCGTTGAACCCATCTTCATGACCACAGCCAGACGATTTTTCAGAAAGAATTGATCTTTCATAAACCCAAATAAGAGAATCCTAACACCATGAACGTCAATGACGGTTAACATTGATTTGGTACTAACCAAAGCCAAGAATTTGGACATTTTACTCAAATGACCCACTTGGGTCGCACGAATTTCGCTGGTACACTATCGAAAAAAACAAAAAAAAATTTAAAAACTTTTACGCTATTTTTCGGTTGAAAAAGTCCGAAATATCTTTTTTTTTTTCATTTTTTTGCGATTTTATTACGACTAATATATAATTAATATATAACTAAAATAAGAATTAGTTATGATCATATGGAGATGAAAGTATCAAAAAAGCCGTTGACAGATGAAATTTTTGTCATTTTGTTCAGAATCAATTGCAATTGTAACAAAGTTGTTTTCGAACGAACAAATTATGTGAATTTATTAAAGATAATACAGTCTTTAAAAAAATAATAGGTTATGTTTTCGGTGGTATAACTCTGAAATTGGTACCAGTTTGAAATTGGTGCGAGTGAATTGAGTCGTTAGAGTAAAATGCCCCAAGAATTTCAACCTTTATCCTAAACCCAAGTTGGATTTATGTCCTAGTTTGATTCGACTCAAGCGAGAATGAACTATTCAAATCTATCCACCCGGTCTCTAAACGAATCCTGGAGTCAGAGCTCGGAATTTTGAATCACGAACACAAAAGTCTCAAAGACGAAACCCCCAAAGCATCGAGATTGGATGCCCAATTGCGTCTTCACAAATTCTGACAAAGACCCACTACACACAGAAACACAAGGTCACTCAGTACCCAACTGAAGAGAGACCGAATCATACAAAAAAAAGGAAATCGAACCAAAGAAGAGCAAGACCGGCTTGGGAAGAACAAAGCCAGAACTCCTCATTTGCCGATTCTCTGGAAACCCAGAAGAGAACCAGGCGACAGTGCTCATGGAGAGAGATCGAGAGTCTTATTCGACAACAACACTAGCAAAAAAAAGGAAGACTTCTTTGAAAGAATCGACTTTTTAGGATTCACCCGCGGCCACGGCGACGAATTAACATAGTACATACCGCGTCTTAAACATAGGACGTGGAGAGATTACGTCCGTCAGATTGATGGGTTTGGATCTTGTTTCCGTCAACATGCTGAAAATCCTTCTCACATCGCCGACAAGAGGAGGGTAATGAGTTCCGACAAGGCATTGTCTTTTTAGGTAACTCCCAAGAATCCAAGGTTTAACCCAAATCCTATTTCACAAATCTCGCATATACTCAGCACCACTCAACGGTTAAGGAAGACTACAATGCCTTCAGACATTTCTGCAACAAGGGAAGGAATGTAACAGCGCTTCGAGATAGATGAGATGAATCCCAAAAGTCCATAACTTTTTGTATGTGTGCCTCTTCAGAGTCACGAACTAAAGCTACGTTTCTGCATTCTACACTTAGAAACAAAACCATTCTTATAGCTTCCGAAGAACGAGATGAGCTTAACAACTTGCAGAGAGCAAGTTTCTTCAGAGAGATGAAAAAGACCCAGAAAACGGGAGATGAGATGCAAAAGCAGAGTCGTATGAATACAGGGAGCGCCATAGACGTTAGGTGCTGATAGAGCTCCAAACTGAGGATGAAGTGTAAAGACTGTGTACGGAGCGTGAACATACGAAGGAGAGAGCTCGAAAGAGAATCTCCGTAGGATCAAAGCCAAAGCCGTCTTGGACTCAAGCAAGGCAAAGTTCTGGCCGATGCAAATCCTCGGTCCCCACCCAAAGGGGAGGAACGAAACCTGGTTCTTCGTCGCCTTTGAGATCCCGTCTTTGAACCTCTCGGGTTTGAACTCTCCCGCATCGCTTCCCCATAGCTCAACATCACGCTGGATAAGCAGAATCGGTAGAGCGACGTGAACGCCTCCAGGAAGAGTCAGGTCTCCGAGTTTCGTCTCCTTGTGGACAGCTCGGCTCAGTTGCGTCGCTGGAGGGTATAGCCTTAGAACCTCGTATAATATCATCGTTACCTGTAGAATCATTTAGCAACACAACGTAAACACGGTTTTCTAAACGGAAAAGAAGGAAGAAAGTTCCAACACTACTTACAACTTTGAGCTGGTTGAGGCTATCGATATCGGGTTTCCGGTCACCGAGAACTTGCATCACTTCCTCTCTCGCCCGAGCCTGCCAGTCTTGGTGTTGGCTTAACAAAATCATCGTCCAAACTAATAGTACTGAAGTTGTTTCTTGTCCGGCGAAATAGAACAGTTTGCACTCCTGCATCACTTCTTCAATGCTCATCCCATTTCCTTTAGATTGCCCGGAATTTGATTCGAGAAGTATACCCAACAAATCATCGTTCGGTGCTTCCCTCGCTTCCACTCGTTTGCCAATGATCCCGCTTAGTGTAGCTCGTATTTCTCTGTCAATTTCTTTCATCCTTCTATTGCTCTTTGTCGGGAAATACCTATGCCGAAGAGAGGAGAGTAAGGCACTGCAGTTCGGTTTCTCATTCCGCATTTCAACTAAATTAACTGTCACACTCTACGTATACGGCTAAACAAATTATTCCCAAGATTAGCAGCGGTGCCATACCATAATAAACATGACTCTTTGAGGGTCTGTCCAATACGAACACGGGTTTATACGATTTACTGGATCACTAGTTCAGTTTGTCTACACCGTGATGATCATTATCACTAAAGGACTTGATGAACAGGTTTTTCTTTTTCTTTATTCAGACAAGACAGTGTTTACCGATATCCAGGGATATAAGCTTTCCGAAAGGCTTGTGTCAGGAGCTGAGCTAGTTCCGCTTGGAGTTTGAAAATCATCTGTCCTTCTCTATAGTTGCTTCCAAAGGCCGTCCGTGAGATCACATCCGCAGTCAGATTCACGAGCCATGGCCAAATATCCACCTCGCACGATGACCCTTTATCTGCAGCTAGTCTCTCCCATTCTTGAACTATCTCACTGCAACTCTGGTAGAATGCAGGGACCATGTTCTGCAAACATATTCAGACACGAATTGGGGTTTATCAAGAGATCGAAAACACGAACTCTGTCTCGATTCAGACAAACAGCTGATAGGAAACCTTGATCTTCTCGAGATGGAAAGCGGGATTGATGATCCTGCGGTGTTTCGCCCATTTGTCTCCATCGTAATTCACTAGTCCACTTGCTATCAATCTGACCAAAGGGAACGTATGCGGCTTCTCGTAATCGTAAATTTTGTTAAACACTTCTTTGATCTGTTCAGGATTTGTAAGTGTAATCACTGGTATAGGCCCCAACCAAGTGAAGAAACTCTTCCCTGTTTCACGCAATACACATACATCTAAGTTCTCAACACCGAAAACAAACACTGAAACTGACAAAACCGATGCAGATTAAACACTAAAACACATCAGACCGCTCTGTTCTGTCAGATTATGCAATTCAGCTCGAAACTAAACGAGACCCACGAAAGATGACCATGTCTAAATCACAAAGATTCAAACTTTTGTTCTCCGAATCTCGACGACTTCTTCAAAGGAACCAACTTTTTAGGATTCAGCTCAACGGGCAGAAACTAACAAACGTACCGTGAGTCTTGAGCATAGTGAGGGGGAGTGGGAGGACACGTGGAGTGATGTCGTCCGTCAGATTGATGGGTTTGGACCTTGCTTCCGACAACATACTGGAGTTCCTTCTCATATCGCCAACAAATGGAGTGTAGGGAGTTCCGGACAGGCCTTGTCTTTTCAGGCGATTCTCCAGAAACTTAGGTTTAAGCCAAACCCACTTCACAAATCTCCATATCCACGCCATCAACACCATGGCTAAAGCCACCAAAGCTGCCATTGATGAGAAAGAAATCTCCATTTTCTTCTATCTGAGAGAGAGAGAGAGAGAGAGAGAGAGAGAGAGGATAGGCGTGATCTTGAAATGGAAGTGTGGAAAACTATACTGCTTTTCCAACATTTATCTGAAAAATATAGAGGAAACGAGATATTTATATGGATTTCAATCTTAATTTTAAAATAAAAAAACTTGTGCTTTCTGCATTTTGTTTTTCAATCTTCTTATATATTTCAAAAAAAAAATGGTACGAAAATGCGAAAGAGTAGTCAAAATAGATTTCTCTTAGTTGCAGAATTGTGGTTGTGGCAAAGTCTCGGGGACATGTCATATCTCGACATATCACGTAAAAAAAAAATTAAAATTTATATATTTATCTGAATTTGTTTTGACAATTTAATATTTATATGATATTCTACGACAAATACGTACAATTATTTTTATTATTTATCTTCAATAACGTACGTACACAATTATGGATAAAGTTTGCTAAATAATTTTGCTTTTTGTTATTTTTTTAATATAAAAAATATGTATAGACAAATAAATTTTAGTTTAATGAAAGAATATTATTCATGTGTGTGTATATATATATATACTTTAAATTAGAACGTGGAAATCGATAATATTTTATATGTATTATTATTTATATCTACAAAATTCTATTAAATATCTAGATAAAAGAAATTATTCAACATAAAATTGCTTATTTAAATAAGAGATTTCAAATACATTTTTTAGAAAATTATAATTAAATCTCAAATAATATATATATATATATATATGTATATATAATATTTAAATGTCGGTAATACAGTTGAATTCAATACTGTCGTTGTATATATAAAATTTTTCTAATAATAAATGATAAATGCATTATTATTACATACAAATGGGATCATAAGATTAACAAACGATTCCGTACGTGTTGGGATTTTTTGTCAGAGTCTGCGTAGTTTTAACTGGGCGCCAAACTGGGGGTGAAGGGTGATTGCGATGTGGGGGGAATGGGCGTAAGAAGGCGAAAGCTCGAACGAGAACCTCTGCAAGAACATGGCCATGGCCATCCTGGCTTCCGTCAACGCAAAGTTTTGGCCAATGCAAATCCTCGGTCCCGACCCGAACGGCATGAACGATGCTGCTTGGTTCCTCGTAGCCTTTGTAGTATACACACGCCAATATCATATCACATCAGGATTCTATTATATGTTATATGTTATATATATATATATATATACACGGGGTGAACATGGGTCGGTTACCGAGCTTTCCCTCGGACTTACAGGTCGAACCTGTAAATCTTCGCCTCTGACTCGGGATACGGTAAATCTTTGGCCAAAACCCGGACTCGAACCTAAAGACCGGGATCTTGCCAGAGACGGACCATATTGATCCTGTCAATGGTAGGGTTGTGGCTCGACTTAGCTTGGATCGAAACGAACTGACTCGTTTTTAACTCAACTCATCACACTCATTTAGAAAAATTCTATTTCGACTCACGTCATTCGGTTCTAGACCTAATCGTAGATAAATATAATAGTTTTTATTAAGAAAATAATAGATAAAAATAATATTTTAATATGAAAGTTAAACATTAAATTCAATATAGGTTTCAATCATTCTTTCTTTCGAATGAAACTAGATAGAATTTAGGGTAAATTAGTTATAATATAATTAATAATGTCTGCATTATAAATAGAGAAATTATATACAAAAAATACTTCAATTGCAAGCTAACTCGTGGCTTGTCAAACTAGTTCGGCAGAGTTTACAAGTTGGCTCGTTAGATTCATTTTCAAACGAACTTTTAAAATAGTGGCTCAACTCGCGAATTGAGCTCATTTTCACGTCCCATTTGTTAGACAAATACCGTGAAATTTCAATACCCGACTTATAGGTCGGTTGGATACTCAAAATTCGGGTTTGTGCCCGCCCCTAAGGTTCGTATTATAAATGATAAGTAACACGACGATATTTTACATGAGTATATACTTTAGTAATACCTTGGAAACTCCCTCGGCGAATCTATCTGGCCTGAACTCGGCTGCGTCGGGGCCCCAGAGGTCGGTGTCGCGGTGGATCAGTATGACCGGCAAGGTAATGACAGTGCCTGACGGAATAGTAATGTCTCCTACCTTCGTTTCTTTGTTATTGGCTCTGTTGAATGCGACAAGAGGCGGGTACAACCTAAGAACCTCGTACAGTACCATAGTTACCTGTAACAAAAATACAGCTCCCATGTTTACACCGTTTGCAAATTTTTTAAAACTGATGAACATGTCAGATTGATAAGCACGTTTGATCTGTAAGGGGCGAGCACCCCTCTCATTATTTCGCCCGCTCCTCGCCTCCTCGCTGACCGGGTATCGCCGAGTACTCGAATGCACGGTGCGGGTACCCAAATGTCCCCAGGCCGAGACCGAGTACCTCTGCTCGAGAAACTCGAGGGAGACGAGAGTGCAAGGTAGGGTATCGAAAATCTCAGATCCCCGCCCCCTAACAGTCAAATACATAATGTGGCCGGAAAATGGGATATTATACTCACGACTTTGAGATGATTCAGCTGATCAAAGTCGGGTTTTTCTCGATCGAAAACTCGTAGAACTTCCTCTCTCGCACGTTCCTGCCATTCTTGGTGCTGACCCAACAAAACCATCGTCCAAACCAAAAGTACCGCAGTAGTCTCCTGCCCTGCAAAGTAAAACAGCTTACACTCCTCGATCACTTCTTGAATATTCATCCAGTGTTCTTGATCTGGCCGAGAGTTCGATTCCAGAAGCAATCCTAACAAATCGTCACCCAGGCCCTCGCCATTCTCGATATCCTTCTCCCTTTTTCTTATGATATCCTTTAGAATATCCGAGATTTCAGAGTCGATTTCTTGTATTCTCTTGTTTGTTTTTGTGGGCATAAACCTGCAGAGAGACATTCCGACAGAACATAAACATGTCCACAACACAAAATTTCTGTTTTCTTGGATCCTAATCCAATGATGAAGCTTCTACCTTAATCCCGGTATATAAAGCGTCTGCAAGATCAGCTGAGATAGCTTAGCTTGTTCCTTTAGAAGCTCGAAAACAGCTCTTCCTTCATTATAACTGCTGCTGAAGGCGGTCCGAGATATTACATCAGATGCCAGATTTTGAAGCCATGGCCAAACGTCTACCTCATGCGGAGATCCGTCCTCCGATACCAACTCCTCCACCCCGTTTATCATCTCGGAACAGCTCTGATAGAAGGCTGGTACCATGTTCTTGAAAAAAAAAATTGAATAAAAACATCCAATCAGCTCGTAAAAAATCGTGTCCAACTTCAGTTATAAAGGCATTGCAATAGATCAATATCTTCCATGACATATATCGCAAAGATTCAGTTCAGAACCTTGAGTTTCTCGACGTAAAATGCAGGGTTGATGATCCTCCGATGTTTCGCCCATTTCTCCCCGTTATATCTCGCAACACCGGTAGACAATTTCACTAAAGGATTCACCTCTGGTTTCGGAAAATCGTAAACTCTGTTGAAAATTTCCTTTACGTGCTCAGGATTCATGATCATAAGCCTCGGTGTAGTACCCGCCCACGAGTAAGAAAGCTTTCCTGCAGTTAAAAGGCAGAAGAATTCTTCAGCCACATTAACTAGAAACTGTCATCGTTTCCATAAACACATCGAAGATATTCGACATGATCTGGTAAGGGTTAAGTGAATTGCATACCGTAGTTCTTCATCGCCTGGTGGAGAAAGGGCAAGACGCGTACCGAGACATCATCGGTAAGACTGATAGGTTTTGTTCTTGCCTCCATGGACATACGGAAACTCTTTCCGGTATCTCCGACAAAAGGCGTGTAAGTAGTGCCGTTAATACCTTGCTCCATTAGAAGCTTCTCGAGTTTCTTCGGTTTCAGCCAAACCCAGTTCAGTATTCTCCATGCCAATGTCAAAAGACCTGTCAAGAAGACAGAAGCTACAAAAATGTAGGCAGATACTTCCATGTCTGAAACAAGCAGTTGACCTTCCTCTGATATAAAACTGCAGACAAGTTACAATACTCTTATGTTCTTATAGCCGTGAAATCATCTCATGAAACACTTTCATTGTCACTGTCTACTGACAAATTTCGGAATCTAAATCAAAATGCATCAGAAGCCAAAAGAATCATTCCACATGTTTTGGTTAACCAAATACGTTGTCTTTGTTTATGCAGCTACCCTTTTTTATAATCCAAATAAACAATGGTGCTGTGACCCGAGAGAAAGCGAATTCTGAAAGGGACCCGAAAGGAATCGTTTTAACGTGAAAACGCATGTTTTGACTTCAACGAATGGAAATTGCCAAAAGGGTACTTTCAATATCGTATTTAAGCAGACCCCAAAACTTCATCAGAACCAGAATGCTTTTGTCCTGTCTAGAACAAGAACCCTAATCCTGATTGCAGAAAAAAAGATCAGAGAACGTGTTCACAATGAACAACTCGACGAAAAATCATAACTTTTCGACTAATCCGAACAACTCGAGGAGAAATCTGAGAAGGGTCGTAAAAGTTACACATTTTCGTCAGAAAAAATCGAAATCAAGCTCCGGTACCAATGATGTAATTGGCTACAAGACAACGATGTTCATATGCTAGCTGTTTCATTGGTTTTGTTCTGTGAAAAGCTGGTTATTACGCCAACTCTTCTTTTCTTGAATCTGTTTCTGGGAGTTGTTTCCCAAATCAAGAACGACAGACAAATACAAGGGGGCGTGTTCCAAGAAATGAACCAACAATATTATGAAAATGAACAGGTTTCCCCATAAATTCTCAGATCAAATTGTGGGTCAACCTAAAACCTAGAAACTTTTTTCTTGAGATTTCATTGGTTTGGAACAGGAAGTTACGTTCAGTTGCCTTCGGAAGGAAGATCTGGCAACCCACACGCCATATTTAGCCGGAAGAGC